ATATAACTTCCAAACCTTAAGAATATTTATTAAGAATCAAACCACTTAAAAGAGTATTCTCAATGTGGGTCAGAATAGAATCATAGAATCCTTACAGTGTAAGGATTCAGTCCATTGAGGCCACACCAACCCTCCAAACAGCATCCCACCCAGACCCACTCCCCTAAACTACTCCTGCAGCCCTGCATTTCCAATGGCTAATCCATCTAGCCTGCACATCCCTGGACACTATGGACAATTTAGCATGGCTAATCCACCTAACCACACATCTTTGGACTATGGGAGGAAACCAGAGCACCTTGAGGAAACCCACACAGATACGGGGAGAATGTGCAAACTCCACACAGACAGTCACCCAAGGGTGGAACGGGGTCCCTGGTGTTGTGAGGCAGCAGTGCTAACCACTGAATCATCATGCTGCCCAGAATGATCTAGGAATGTATCTTAGATCTTCAAAAGGTGCCATGAGTGAAGACCATGAAACAAAATAAAATGGCTACATTTGTAAAAAATATTAATTCGGCCAGAGGTGAAATATTGCATGATGTTCTGATGCCCTACTGCAGGAAAATATTACAGCCAATGGAAAGTTGCTGTGAAGCTTCACCTGGAATAATACCAGAAAAAATGTTATCGCTCTGAAGAAAGACTCAAAAGATTGAGCTTTTATCCACTGGAAGTCAGGTTAAAAGGATATTTAAAAGAGGCAGTTAAGATTCTCAAATGTTTTGAGAGGGTAGGTAGTGAAGCGTTAGTTTCATTAGTTGAGGAACCAGTAACCAGGGGCATACAAGTTAGATAAAATTATAATATAAACATTGTCTCAGGGGATCACCAGGAAAGGGAGGTTGGGAGCATATTTTTCACATAAAATTAGAACATTAAATGCTTTGTCGCAATTTGTTATTTGTAACATAATAGGGATTTGGATAAGCAATTGTAAAGAGAAAATATATCAGGATAGAAATGACAAGTGAGGAAATAGGGTTAGGATACAGAGCTTTAGCTGAAGAATTATTAAAGTTATTTTGACTTAATCAATTAAAAAGTTTTAATCAGAATTGGGTAGATTTTTATTAGGCAAGATATTAAAGCTTACAGAACTAAGACATGAAAAAGTGGAAATAAAGTGCAGATCAACCAGGATCTAATTGAAAGGGGATCAGGTTCAGGGGTTTGAATGTTGACCTCTTGCTCCTATGCTCTAGTACAGGTAAAAGCACACAGTAGGACCGAAGGGCCTGTTTCCACACTGTAGACATTCTATGACCTATGATCTAGATCAGATGAATACCATACATGCCAATATTCTAGCAATGGATTTCCAAAGCAGAAGAAGCATAAATCAGTAGATGGATTTGGAATCATCTCCTACCAGCACAGGCAGTAGGAGTACAGCATACTGCCCAATTTTACCTTTTTCTCTCTTGCTATCTAATCAATTTTAGTTGGGGTAATAGAAGAAAATTCATCTCTTAAACTCTTCTGTTGAGTTTTATTTATGGTTATTTGTTATACTTTAAATGATCAGACCAAGGAGAAGTCCATTGTAATATAAATTGGACATAGTCCATTAGGGTGTGGTTCACTATAACAAATGACCATTTCTAATTTGCTGAAAGATATTTTTCTTATTATTTGCTTGGAATGTAATCATGCCTCTGATAAACTAATTGTAACTTTTCTATAACTAATGAAACCCTGTCAATGATTTGCAACAAGGTGAAAAAAGCACTGAAACTGAACATGAGCTCTGCAGTCATTTTCAGATTCCATTTTATTTAATACATGCAGTGGCACAAATTTACAACTCATCTGCAAATGTTTCAACAGAATTATTTCAGAAATCTTAAATGTTGATGATCTTGGTCATTAAAGAATAAGCACTCACTAAGAAAAAGCAACAATTATATAGATCTGAAAATGGTCAACTATACTGCTGCTTTTGTATCAATAAATGGTGACTTTTGGTTCATGGTAATACAAATCTGGTTTTGTCCTCAGATGCCAGGTCCTAAACTGGCTCCCAGGGAGATGACTGCAAAACAGTGTAAAACCCTCCAAGAATCAATTTCATATTGCTTAGGCTTTATAGCCTAGAACTGAAAAATGTTCTGCTTAATCCATTAGATCTCTTCAGTCCTTTGTAAACAGTTTTGAGTAATTTAAGATGACAAGAGAGCAGCATCCTTCATGGTGTCTTATCAGAAATGTAGCTAATAGAAGATCAGGCCTCTCTCTGGTTCTAATTCCCTGCGTTCAGCCTATTTTCTATGACATAAATTTGAGATCTATTGGATGTCAACAACAGTTTTTTGTATCCAATGTCATCTAGTGTCATGAAACATTTGAAGAAATATATAATTGACAGTATTAAAACTGCATCTGGTGCATAATGCTTAAAGTAATAAATTAAACATTGATAATTAATATATATATTCCTTACCTTACACCAGTGACCACACTTAAAACTCACTTTATTGACTATAAAGTAATTAGGGACATCCTGAGGTTGTGAAAGTTATGAGAAATGTAAAATGTAATTTTTTTTAAAAGTCTCTTGATTAATATGACCATCACCAAATATTTTATGGATATTTAAGGTTAGCACTTAGTTCTTTCGCAAACTTGTCTTATTTACTTAATTCAGAAAACTGTAAATAAAACTAAAACACTGCGGATGCTTAAAATCAGAAATAAGAACAGAAAAAGTTGAGCATTCTTAGTCATCAGGCAGCATTTGTGGACTGTCTTAATCCCTGTACAAATCAATAACTTGCAGAAAGGTATTCAAATATCCAGTGACTGTTTGGATTAAATACATGACAAGATTAAAATCTTACAGCTTCTACTATAAGAAATAAACTAAAAGCAATATTAACTAAACACTATTCAGAGGGCAACTGACAATCTAAATTCATGAAAAGTTTACCACTTCACTGTTAAAGCAGTTGAAAATCCTCATCATATCCATTTATTCTGTTCCTGAAGTGGATAATTCACTCTCCAGAACCAACCCAAAGCTATGCTCAACTCTCGATGGCTTACTTCCTTTTGCATTTCAAGCTGGATAATTTCTAGCCCCAGAACTGATCTCCAGAGTGAGGGACAAATTGGAGAATCTTCCCTCGAGCCAAACTAGTGACTCTTCCAAACTCATTTAAATCCTCATGAACCCAGGCTATTTATTCTTTTCCTGAACTCCCACTTGCATTTTGGTGGTGACTGACAAGGCCAGCATTTTCACCGCTGATGATAGAGGACTAGCTGCCTCTCTTTCTGCACTCCCTCATATAGACTCTTGCAGACTGTCCCATCTGAAATTTAGGGATAACTTAAGGAAACTCCTGTTACCCAATACCACAATGGCCTCCTACAAATCCTTAGTCTGTCAAAGACAATCCTTTATTGCAACAAGAATCACATGAATCTTGTAGCCATACAGTTAGCCACAAGACCTCTAAATTGAAATTAAATAAACTATTTAAAATAAAACCATTTCACAAAACTTGTCATTCCCAACACCTTCTTGTATTTGGGCGCTGACAGACTACCACCAAATAATGATTTGGAAACTCACCTCATGAGTCAAATATGACACCAATCTGTGAATAATCTCAAACTGTTTACAGGGAAATGGATGGAAATGGTAGCTAGAAAATTGAGTTTCAAGCAAGAAACAAAATATTTGTATTCAATCTTGCCAATATTTAATAGGGCAAAACGTTTGCTCATCCAGTACTTTATGTCAGGTAAGCAGTCTGATAACTCTCTTGGAAGACTCAAGAGAGATGTGGTGAGGGAGAACCAAGTGCCAGAGAACATGCAAAAACTATGAAGCATCCCTGGAAGAGCTGCATTTGAATAGGAATTAGGAAAAGGCAAGGATGGAACCTTGGAGATACCAGAGGTTATGATGTGGGAATGGAAGAGAAACATCGTAGGTGATACTCTGCCTATGATATGACAAATTAGAATATAATCAACAAAAACATGCCATCCAACTCTATGACAGTAACAGAGGTGTTGGTGGAGACAGTGTGGTCAACTGTGTCAAATTCAACAGGCAGATCAAGAAGGACAGTGAGGAATAGGTTGCCTTTGTGACAGTGAGATAGGTTGTCATTTGTGACTTTGAAACAAACGATCTAGATATGATAAACTGGACAGAAACTTGTTTGAAAGGATTCAAATCAATGAAAGGGATGTAAAGATGAGAGTTCTGTGAAAGATGAGCATAGATTTGGGAGGTGATAATTTGTTCAAAGATTTTGGAGAAGCAAGGGAAGTTCGGTATAGGGGGTGGTTTGCAAATACGTAAGGATCAATGGTTTTCCTGAGAACATGATTAATAACAGATTCAAAGAAGAGGAGGAAAACACTTGAAAAGAGAGAACAACTAACCATGCTAGTAATAGTAAGGCACAGCACGGAAACAAACCCTGGAGTCCAACTCATCCATGCCGATCAGATATTCCACATTAATCTAGTCCAATTTGCCAGCATTTGGCACATATCCCTCCAAACCCTTCCTGTTCATATACTAATCCAGTTGTCTTTTAAATGTTGCAATTGTACCAGTCTCCACCACTTCCTCTGCCAGCTCATTCCATACATGCACCACCCTCTGTGAAAATGTTACACCTTACGTTCCTTTTAGAATCTTTCCCCCCTCACCTTAACCCTATGCCCTCTAGTTTTGGGCTCCCCTACCCTGGGGAAAAGACCTTGACTATTCACCCTATCCATGCCCCTCATGATTTTACAAACTTTTATGAGGTCACACCTCATCTGCCAAAGTTCCAGGGAAAATAGCACCAGCCTATTCAGCCTCTCCCTATAGCTCAAAGCCTCCAACCCTAATAACAACCTTGTAAATCTTTTCCAAACCTTTTCAAGTTTCGCAACATCTTTCCTATAGCAGGGAGACCAGACCTGAATGCAGTATTCCAAAAATGGCCTAACCAATGTCCTGTGCAGCCACAACATGACCTCCCAACTCCTACACTCAATGCACTGATCAATAAAGGCAACTATACGAAACATCTTCATTACTACCCTGTCTACCTGCAACTCCACTTTCAAAGAACAATGAAGCTGCACCCCAAAATGACTAATGAGAGGACCAGAAAGGGAAGTTAGGTGTTCCACAGTTTGGTGGAAATAGGGTCAAGGAAGCAGGCAATGTATCTAATGGATAAGGTTCCAGAGGATATGAAGGGAGATGTAAGAAAAAGTAGAGAAGGTTGGAAATTCAGAACTAGGTCAGTGGTGAACCTCAGGAAGTCTGACCCAATGAGCTGGTAAAAGGGAGGTAAGGCAGCACTTGCAGCTGATTGGATGGTTTTGATCTTAGTGGCAAAGAAATCCATGAGCTCCTCGCAGTTATTCTCGGTGGTGAGGATGTAGGAGATGGGGAGTCTGGAAATGTCAACTGCCTTTCTCTCCATAGATGCTGCCTGACCTGCTGTAATGTTTCCAGCATTTTCTGCATTTATTACTGGCATAGTCTTGATTGCAATATTTCCCTTTACATTTTCCCTTTTATAATCTAGAGTGAATATAGCTTGGCTTTACAGGTTGAATATCTCTTTTCTCCAAAAGTTGTTAAAGGTTTTAGGTGTTTGGCAATTTAATACAGAAAATAGCACAACGTCTGTCATAATTTGGCACTTATCTCACTCATTAAAGAGGAAATGTTTACTTACATTATTGCCTAATTCTAAAATATAAATGAAGATATCTTTGCACTTACCATGAATCAGTTTTTCTTTACAATGGCACTTTAAAATTGCTGAATAAATTTTGCCTGAGAGCACTTGTATTGTGTGCAATGTCTTTGGTGACAGCTTGAGTTTCTTTCTCATGAATGAATTGGGATGTGACCCTCCTGGAGCAGAATTTTGTATCAGTGAAGAGAACATTTTATAAAAGAAAACATACAAGATGCCTTTGACTAGTAGTCCTACATCTAGAAAAATAGAGAGACACCTTTATAACCATTGCTATTCCTTTTACAGGGTAGTTAAGAAGGGCAATGGAAATCCTAATGTAGTACAGAGTGAGTGCTCTGTGGAGGGAGGGTAAAGCACTGGTGGTTTTGGAAGAAACTAGTTTAAACCCACTTCTGCTGGTTCCATAGTCAGATAAGCATGGATTGTTTTCAACGGTGACATGGAAACTTGGACAAGAGCCAGCTTTTCATTTTAGTAGGGAATCGTGACCTTGGTGCTTCCGATCTGGCCTGGCTCCAGCCTTCTTTCAGTGGGAGGTCATTTTATTTCTTGTAAGTGTCACATTCCAATAGAGATTACAGGATAGGCTTTTAAAACAGTATAAAGTTATACAAAAAGGTTTAATTGGATCTGTAAGAACTGCAACTCTAATTCCTCATCACTTGAAAATGTTGGTAAATCCTGTGAACAAAAGATGTCAGTATAACCTACACCCTTGTTCAAGGTATAAAAAAATTATAAATATACAATAAAAACAGATCAAATGTCTGTAAAGTTTCTCAGCAAGTTGATATTAGCTTAGAAATTACCGTTTGTGTTGACAAATACTTCACACAATCGTATGACATTTAGAACAAATGAGAAATATCATGCAAACAGTGAAGCCTTTGTCTATTATAGGTACATTATCCCAAATACAGCACCCTCTTAACCAACGACGTGCTGGACTATGCAGGATTTTGGATCACCAATTAACTCCCTCACACAGGCTTCATCAAAACAGAGAAACAGGTGATATTTCTTCCCTGAAAACCGAGTTCATTATAATCAGAATGTTCTCAGCAGGAGAACAAGTTGTTTGTGTCCAGAGGATAGGAAGGACCAAGAGGAGGCACATCTTAAAGTGCTGCAATGGACTCAGGTCTTGTGTGTGCACAACTCTTGCTGACTCTGTCCTCTGGTATCAGACCGAAACATTTCCTCTTTATTCCACATGCTTACTCTTTTTCAGGAGCTGCAACCAAGGGAAAAATCTGCATTTTTGAAAAATTCCATTTGATTTATCTGATTCTTTGCAAACCAGATTTGTGTACCTATATTTACATGAATAATGATTTCTAGCTTAAAGTATTTGAAACCATTTGCTTTCTGAGAACAGTTGTGAAAATCAACCAGTTTTTCAATCAATTGAACACATCTTCTCATTCAATTGCTTCCATAACTTCCATCACTAGAGTGCGGGGTCCAGTCATGATTATGTTGCTGACTGTTTTGTAGTCCAAATGCATGACATGCCTGCTGTTCACAGAGACAACAAACTGTCTGACCTGAGAGAAAACAGAAAGTAGATGCTGAATTTGTGTCCATATTGATATAAAATATATGATGTATGTCAGCTTTCAAATGCAATACCGAGCTATTTCCAGCTACTGTCCTTATGCAACTTGTAACTGAACCCCCATATGAGCCCATTTATTGCAGTGACTGACAGGCTGATGAATGGCATTGCAAGTGCCAGACATGAGATCAAAATGTCACAGTGCCTCTCACATGGCAACAGGGTATTTGTGGATCTCCTTAACCAATCAGATTGGGGCTTTGTGCAATGAACACGCCAGGTTCTGAATAAGAGTTTTTCTGACTCCATGGTTAGGGGTGGGGGAGTGGAAAGAAAATTTAAACCTTCATTTCACTTTGTGTTGGTTTTGACATTGAATTCACTATTCTAACTTATACACTTCTTTGTTTGAATCTGTGTCAGATCAGGAAAGCTCGCCAGTGCATTGCTGCTGCTGTGTGTCTTTCCCTTGGACTGGCAGGAATGTGGAAGCCAATTTAAATAGTTAAGACTACAAGTCGGGACAAGATCAAGTGTCCACTGACATCTTGCCACCAGAGGAGCTATTCCCCACCTCCTGCCCCTCCCCTTGCCACTGGATGTGGAAGCTACTAGTAATGTAACAGTTGCCTCTCTGCAGCAACGTAGGACCAGTAGCATTGGGCCGGAAGCATTGTGAGACCACCTGCTTTTTCTCATGGTATTTAATCCAAAGTCATCCGTTTCCTAGTTGGTTCCTTGTCATAGTGATTGAGAAGGTAGGGGTGAGCTGGGTTATTGAGCCACAGTAGTCTTTGGAGTGTGGGTCACCTACAGTGTTATTAGAAATTATTCCAGGACTTTGATCTGGTGACAGCAAAGGAACTGAGTATTGCTGCAAGTCACAGCGGTGTATGGCTTGGAGGGAAACTTGCCCTGGAACCTGCAGGTGGTGGTGTTTCCATACAGCAGCATCTCTTGTCCTTGTAGGTAGTAGAAATCACAGGTTTGGAAGGTACAATCAGAGGAGCCTTGTTGAGTTGCTGCCGTGCATCTTGTAGATGGTACACACTGCTGCCACAATGCATAGACATTGAACTGAGTGACTGCTGCAGATTGTGAATGGGATGGCAGTCAAATTGGTTGCTTTGTCATGAATGGCAGCAAACTTTGAGTGGTTTTGGAGCTACACTCATCCAGGCAAGTGGGGAATATTCCATCACATTCCCGACTTATGCCTTGTAGATGGTGGACAGGCACTGGGGAGCCAGAAGGTGAAGAATTCTTAGCTGCTGTACTGCTTTTTTAGCCACTGTAATTGTATGGCTGGTCCAGTTCCGTTTCTGATCAATGATAATCTCTATATGTTGATATTGAAGGATACAGCAATGATATTGCCATTGAATATCAAGGGACAATGGTTAGATTCTCACTGGTTGGAGATGGTTATTGTATGTGACACAAATGTTAGTTGCCACAGTCACTCTTGATGTTGTCCAGATCCAGATCTTCTTGCACGTGGTCATGGACTTCTTCAATACCTGGGGTATTGTGAATGGCACTGAACACTGTGCAATTCCCAGAGAACATCTCTACTTTTGACCTGACTAAAAAGTTCCTTGTCGATATCCATGAACTCATCTTCCATATTATTATTAGAAATGTGATATTTCCAGTCAATATGAAGATTAAAATATCTGTGATTACTGTATTATCCTTCTTGCATCTCTAACTTCCAGGTTTATATTCTATCCAACACGACAACAATTGTTAGGGAGCTTATAAACTCTCTTAGATTTTATGTGATGATTCTTATATGCTAAACTTGAAGTAAAAGTTTCAGGATACTTCAGCTGATTTAAGTTGAAACTTTATGGATTCATGTTGTTTGGAGATAGAATGCTAATTGTATGCATTTTGTATTTGTTGTTACATTACAATATAGCAGTACTATCAAATACCATGTTGAATCATACATTCAAGTTAAATTGCTGATTCATTAACAAAGAAGAACAGACATAAGACTACATTTTGGAAACTTTAAAGATATAAACCATTTTGAAGATTATCTCCTGATGTGTGTGATCCCTAACTACATTGCATTACCAGCTGTAATCCATAGTTAGCACACAAACTTCATCAATATTCATGTAAAGATAATATCAGTTGAGATAAAATATCTGGCTGTTGAAACTATTGATTCTGTTTTTATTTGAAGTATAAAGGTTAAAGTAAAGTTCCTGGAACTGTGGTAAAAATTATACCCTCAATGATTGATGAAGATAAAATCAAGACAACTTTAGACGTTAAGTTTATTATAAATTAGTCTGCACCTTGGTTTAATGATAAAACCGGTGGACTGCTTAAGACTATAATCAAGATATAAATATATTACATAGTTATTTTTGATAGACACCAGCTGAATGATTAAATAGCTTGCTAATTCTGAACCCAGTAACACCATACAGTAACCCAAACAGCCAACCTGTAACAGTTATTGACAGCTGCAAAGTACCCTTAAATCAAGGAATTTGATAGGGGAAGAGATTAGTGTAGAGAGGACATGGTTGTGGAACAATGACAATTTCTTTGATAAGCATTTCTGCAAAGCAGCGCAGATATCCTGTGAGATTACAGCACAGAGTAAGTCATGGTATAAATTGCAGATGCCATCATTTATATTAATAGCATCAGCCACAGTTTGTAACAAATGCTCAGAATTTTCTAAAAAGTCCTAGCATCACCCTAATGGTCAGTGACGCAGTTGAACAATGCAGCAGTCCCACCTGCAAATTTACTATCCGGGAGCCATGAACTGTTAATATCATACTCAAGTATCTTGAAGTTGAAATTTGTAAACACATGAAAACAGAATTGAATTTCAATGCAAACTATTGGTAAAAAATAATGGAAGCCCAACAGTAACACACTTCATACAGTAGGTGGAGCAACAGAGAGACAAAGATGCAGAAATGTGCACTGAAGCAGATTGTTCAAGAGGTTTCTTTGGAAGATAAGTGAAGATCAATAATGGATTCAGTGGATCGCAAAAGAAATTATTTTGTATTTACCACATTTTTAAACAAAACACAATATTCTTGATAACACAGTGTGGAGCTGGAGGAACATGGGATTTCTGAAGAAGGGTCCTGACCCAAAATGTCAACTTTCCTACTCCTCTGATGCTGCCTGACCTGCTGTGTTCCTCCAGCTCCATACTGTGTTGCCTCTGATTCCAGCATCAGCAGTTCTTGCTATCTCACAATATTCTTGATGTTATAGATTGTCCTACCTATAAATTGACTTTCACAAAATGTTATACAAACATGAAATGTATCATCAATGGTTACTACTGAAGCTGAGTCAAGCATATTTGAGGGGGAACAGAGTGAAAATCTGAGGAAAAAATATTAAGTGTAGAAAGACAGACATCGGATTAGCATAGATAGTTATGATGGACAAAATACAATGGGCATGAAGCCCAAATAGTCTCCTACTGATGCTTCAGAGTCTACAAAATGATAAACTTGTTTTGTTTTTCCCTTGATTTTACTGTTGACCTTCATAAGGTCATAAGAAATGGAAGCAGGTGTCAGCCATTCAGCCTGTTGAGACTGCTGTGCTATTAAATAAGATCTAATTGTGATCTCAAGTTCACTTCCCTGCTTATTGACCAAAAATCTGTCCAATTCAGCTTAAACATATTAAATCACCCAACTTGCTGGTTTTCTTTGGAAGCAAATTCCAAAGACTAACAACTCTCAGGGGAGAAATTTCTTCTTATTTCAGTGTTAAATGACAGACCCCTGACTTTTAATTATGTCCCCTAGTTCCATTCTGAAGAGGAGTCACTGGACCTGAAATGATAACTCTGCTTTCTGTTTGGGTTTCTGATTTCTAGCATCAACATTCTTGGTTTTATTTTTCCCCTAGTTCTACACTCCCCATAAGACAAACAATCTTCTCAGCACCTACACTGTCAAGCCCAATGCCAGTTGTGGGGGCAGGTGAAATTGCTGCCAAAAGTGGGCAAGTCAGTTGGAAAAAATTAATCACAGAGTCAACCAATCAGATGAATTCTACCTCTAAATGTAGGACTGAGAGATTTTATAAGGACCTGCTCCTCCAATCACAAGTTGCTTCTTCCTCTGCATTTGCTGCTGATTGCTTCACTAGGGAACCAACCAGCAGCAAATGTGAGAGTAAGGTAGTCTGTGATGGGAAGAGTAGCAAGAAGTTAGGTAACAGAGGTAGATTAGACTGACAAGGCTAAGCAGGTCTGAATCTGAACTGCAAGACTGTAGGGTGGAAGAGAATCTGCTGGGAGAAGCCTGGAAGTGAAGGGTAGTCAGTCTGCTGGGCAAGGCTTGTGAAGCAGTGAGTATACTGGGTTAGGCCAGGGGGCAGTGCATCCTGGGTGAGTTGATGAGGGAAGCTGGCATCTTGTGCAATGTGAGAGGTTGGTGGTTAAAAAGAGTGATAAGAGCAAGAAGCGATCAGTTGTAAAGGGGAGGAGAATGCATTTGTTGCAAAGGGGAAAAAGGACAGAAAATGCCATGGAGAACATAAGAACATAATACAGCCTCCTCAACCCAAGGGTCAGTCTAATAAACCTTCTCTGAAATGCTTTGAATTCAAATATATTGTTAAGTAAGGAGATGAAAAGAGTAGATAGTACTCTAGGTGCGGTCATGCTAATGTCCTGTAAAGTTGTCTGAAGACTTCTCTATTTTTATATTCCAGCCCACTTGCAATCAAGACTGCCATTCCATTTGCCTTCCTAATTACTTAGCTGCAGATGAGTGCTAACCCTTTGTAATTGATGTATAATATACACTCAAATTCTTCTACTCTGCAATATTTTACAGTCTCTCTTTATTTTAATTATATTTTGCTTTTTCATTCTTTCAGTCAAAGTGGACAATCTCACATTTTCCCATGTCACACTCTAATTTTCATACCCATTCACTCAATTTATCTATATCCCTTTGCAGACACTTTGTAACCTCC